AAAATTTGACAAACGTAAAAATTGGCAAGTCCACGATACACCAAATTACGGCAAGGCTAGGCTGATGAGCGAGGCAGTGTGTGACGGACTTTATGGGGGGCGCAGGGGCTCGCCGGAAATGTCGAGGCATTAGCTCCTCGAGAGATTGGGGAAAGGAAAGCTAGCAAAGATCATTGGGGAAATCTACGATCCAATAAAAGACGAAGAGTGCCAAGAGACGGCGAGATGTCTTGCCGAGGCTTCGAGTTAATTAAAGGGATCTCGCGATAGAGGGGGGCGATGGCCAAAATATCTCGGCGAAAAAAAGGAGGCCGGCCAGGGGGTTGAGGATTAATTCGGGTAATGTCTAGAGGGGAGAGGTGTAGTGCAGAATACCAAGTGGGGGTGCTTTCGCGTTATCGGGGGGGGGGCCCAATTTTTTTCAGTAGAGTTCAGTTTCGGTAAGTATTTTAAGTATTAGTCGATTTTTTTAGTCGAAAATCGGCCATTCTTAGGCTTTTTAAGAGTATTTTGAGCAAGATTTACCCATATCCCAAGCCGGAAATTATTTAGAAAACCTAGAAAATCTTAAATAAAAATATTCTGGTAGAAAATCGGCAATTTTTACATCAAAAATCGATATTCTGAATTTTCCAAAGAAAACGCCCGAAACCATCGTTCTAGTGAAAGGTAGTTTCAGGAGCTTTCGCATTATCGAGGGGGCGTTTCTAAGAATCTAATTCTAATAAATAAATATAAGAAGTAAAAGAAGTAAAATCGCTACTATTCTAACGTAAAAACTTAAAACTTTTTAGAAAAAAAAACAGATTGCTTGACAAAAATTACCGGTTTCGTTCAAAAACCGAATTTTAGATTTTTAAGTTCAAAGTTTAAACTTAAGTTCAAAAGCCGAAGTTCAAAAACCGCTTTAAAAAGTTTTTCCGCTCCAAATATAGTTCAGTTTTACTTAAAACACTAGTAAAAACTTATTATTATGTTCTAAAGGTATTTTAGACTTTTAGGAAATCCCCTCCCCCCGATAATGCAAAAGGACCAATTCTCAGGGCCCTACAATTCCAAATTAGCGCCAAAATTCCAGGCGTGAATAGATAAGAGAAGAAGCTAGTGTGTTTGTATGGGCGGGCATTCGAGAAGGGCCCCTAATCAAGCCGTGACTCGAAAGAGACGTTCAGGGCAGTCAGCCGGGAATTCCGGTCGGCTCCGCCCAAGTACACGCCTTGTGGACAGAGTATCCACACGGACGAGATGGCGAGGGAGTGTCTGTTTGAATCTAGATATCTTTCTCGCTCTCTCTCTCTCTCTCTCTCGCTGTTTATCCAAGCGTCGAACACCCCCCTCCGCCACGGGCCACAACAACCGATGCGCCAACAGTATGCAAATATATAGGGTGCGGCCGACCGAACCTTCTTCAAACTCCCGAACTACTCTCTTGAGATGTTGCTCTGGCTGAATGGTTAGTGCTTGTGCCTCTCAAGTTCTTGGTCAGAGTTCGAACCCTTCCCGCGCCGAAGCTTTTTGCTTTTTGACCAATATTCTTGGAATGATCTCCCAAATGCTTTCTGCTAGCTCTTGGAGCTAGCTTTTGATGGGATTTAGGGTTCCTTAAAATCTCATTATTTTCGGGGGCAACCTGACATTTCGAGAAGGTCAACCACCTCTTATGTATTCACAAGGAGCAGAGCAATCCCCCCGTTTCCCCGGGTGACAAGATAGACCCTGGCGTTCGGTTGACGTATTGGAGGCGAGAGAGAGAGAGAGAGTGCGAGAGAGAGAAACGGTAACCCTTACCATGAGAGGGCCCTGGACCAATTCTTTCCGCGGTGCGTGGGACAGCAAAAACCGGAATTTTTAAAGGGATTGTGTAGGCAAAAATTGGGTTAAAATAGAGTGGAAAAGCGTTGCCGCAACGCTAGAGAAACCATAGTATTTTTAAAGGGATTATGAAGCAAACAAATCTGAGTAAAAATCGGAATTTTTTACTTTGAAAAGTCGAAATCGCGAAAAAACTAACAAAAAAAAATATAGATATATGCGGATGTAATTCGAGGAGGGTATATGCATAGTAGGTTGGCTGGGCATTGGTGCGTCGAGGGGATAAAAAGGGTCCCCCGGGGGTCTCGAGTGGAATTTGATGCCCCCTTCAATATCCAAAGCCAAAGGCCTGCCCCTCGAAAAGCCGAAAAAGCACCACTTTTCGATGGCCTTGGGCTATATAAAAAGTGCTGGACTTTTTTAACAGGATTTTGAAGTGGAAGTTCTATAGATTAGTAAGATTTCGGGGATTATTAACAACCTAAAAATTGATGAAAAACGCGAAATTCCACCATATGACGGGAAATTCGAATGGTAGAGACAGTAATTTGTTCCTCCCCATTAAGCGTACAGTACCGACCGCTCGATGAAACCACAAAGAATTCACGAAAAATCGACTCAACTTGGCGGATCGGATCGAAAAATCTAGAGAACCGGTCTCGCTGAAAGGATATGCAAATGCATTACTGCAAGCCGGCATAGCCGCCCTCGGGGCACAAAAGGATAGAGAAGGGTAGAGGGGGGAGGGATCGGATCGATCGATGGGGTCGGAGAGAGAGAGAGAGAGGGAGAGAGAGAGAGAGAGAGAGAGAGAGAGAGAGAGGAGAGAGAGGGAAGGAGAGAGGAGGGGGGAAAGGGGGAACAACCCCAGAAGGGTGCCTACATAAAAAAAGAGTAGGGGCCATTATTTGACCAGCCAGCTGGCCCCTGCCCTCCTACCCCGAGGGCGCCATATGCAAATTTGGTTTGTGACAGGGGCTGGGAAAGGATGGACATTCCTCAAAGAATCTCTGCTAGCATGCCAAAGGATAAATTCCGTGGTACTCTGCTAGCCCTGCGTGTGCCTGAAAACTCCCTAAGAATCTCTGCTAGCTTGCCCTCACCTGCAAATTCCGTAAAAATCCCTGCTAGCTTGCCCAGTCCCTTGAATTCCAGAAAGAAACCTGCTAGCTTGCCTGGAAATTGGAGTCCGGCTTTCCTAAAGAATCTCTGCTAGTCTGCTCTTTACTGAAAGTCCTATAAAAATTATTACTAGCTTTCCTACTCCTTGAATTCCACAAAGGAACCCTGCTACCACCTGCTACTGCTACTACCAATCGATGCAATTCCTCAAAAAACGTCGCTAGCCTGCCCTATCTGTCTCTGTGATTCCTAAAAAATCTCCGCTAGCTTCCCCATTCCCTCTAATCCTCAAAAATCTCTGCTAGCCCGCCTAACTGGACTAAAATCAGTGAAATGAGTACGTTCGGCGCCTAACCGCAGCAAGTTCAGAGGCCGGAGTCCCCCCAGCCAAAAGGGCCACTAAACGAGGCACTTAACAAAGAGCTCAGCCCCCAGAGGGGAGAGAGGACAATCCCCGAAAAACACTGCATATTAAATGATGGACCTTTGGGGGGGAGGGAGGGAGAAGCTGAAATGGACCATATGGGGGTCAGGTGCAGGATGGATGCCTTCAATGGCCCTTTAATCCGGGAAAATAGTCAGCTGGGGGGGGGGGAGGGATGGAATTACTGGGAATTCCCAAATGGTTTTGGCTGGGTTGCCTGAGAGAGAGGGTGACAGCGAGAGAGAGAGAGAGAGAGAGGAGAGAGAGAGAGAGAGAGCGAGGAAGCTAGAGTAATTGAGCAAGAAATAGCGAGATAGAGAACCTGAGTAAGAGGCAGAGAGAGAGAGAGAGAGAGAGAGAGAGAGGAGGGGAGAGAGAGCGAGAGCAACTAAAAATCGCTAGAAACCTCCCTCATTAGCCAGATTCATAAACAGCAACGAAAAACACCTAATTACACCGGATCGTTCGGAGGTGTCGAGCGGAAACCTGAAGCTGAAAGGTCTCTGAATTTTCTCAGTTTTGCTATCGATTTAAAGGTCATTAATGATGCCTATGAATGCGCAAACGAAGCCGCGAAAACCGTAGATATACGTAAAGTAGGAAAATACGAGGACTGACGAACATTTTACTCCTGGAAAATCAAGCCAATTATCGGGTGGAAGGGGTAGAAGAAGCTAATAGCCTTCGTCAAGGGTTCCAGGCTTCACATGGGCAGGCTAGCAGAGATTTTTTGAGAAAAATAAGGGGTGGGCAGGCTCAGCGATTATCCAGGAAATAGGGTTAGGGCATGCAAGCATAAATTCTTTTAAGAATTCTGAAAGTTGAGGCATTTTTTGGTGGTGAACCAGCAGAGATTCTTTGATCCGTAACCTCGTGCTAAATGTCCCTTAGCACCGCATCTGTGAGCCCCATACCCCCGGCCTTTCCGCTAATTAACCCTCACCCCGTCCTGCTGCCACATTTGCATCCGGTCCACCTGGCCGACCAGCGCACGGCCTTTAGCCCCCCGGCTACTTACCTAGACATCGAGATGGGAGAATGGGATCCTCATTCTAATAGGCCATAAATCAAAGGAAAAGCAAAAAAAAATTGCGCCGAATCGATTACGCCAGGAAAAGCTACGCGGCACTCCTCTGTAATATTAGCTCATGGCTTTTCCGTACTTCCGCTTCAATTAAAACAGCTCTTGGGGATGCCGGCTAGCAGAGAACCTTGAGGAAAATGGATGATGGGCAAGCCAGCATGGATTCTTTGGGAATTTGAGTGGATGGGGCAGGCTAGTAAAGACTCTTTGAACGCATATAAAAACATTGAATGAATTGAATGAAATTAAAACATGAATTTCCGATTAAAAACCCATTCTTGAAGCAGCACACCAGCAGAGAACCTTGCGGAAAATCAGCGCTGGACATGCTAGCTTGAATTCTTTGTGGAAATGTACGACGCGCAGCTTAGCCGATGCTCTTTGAGAGGTTATTTTTTATTTTTCTCAGTTTTTATCGAATCTATCCATGCAATAAAACGATTTATCCACAAAACAACTCCATAATCACCAAATTTTGGCCACCCAAACGATCAAAGAAAGAACGACACTGAATCACACACGTAAAAGAACATTTTTAATCGATCGCCGGTCGAGTTATTCGTGCACAAGGACGCCCGGCTGGTCTTCCAACTCGGGGTCGGTCGACTGGGGCTGAGCTCCATCCGTTTCCACCTGAAATACCAGTCAGAATTTTAAAGCTTAAGGCCACTAGCATTAATGAGGCTTCAACCGACCATAGCTGTAACATGAAGCCTATACTCCCGCGTCACGGTCAAGAAGTGCAGAACGGCCCGCTCGAAGGCTTTGTACTTGGCGAAGAGGTCGGGAGTATGGTCGATCTGGAAGGAAATCTAGGTCCAAGATGGTATTGGACATGATCAAAATAAAGAGGCGAGAGAGAGAGAGAGAGAGAGAGAGAGAGAGAGCGATAGAATAACAGTTTTAGGGAATTAAACTAGCAATAAAAAACCTACGAGCTGGGCAATACTGCGCTCGGCGCTGATCATCTCCGACGGCTTCGGGATGGTTTGGCCTAGCTCGACCGCAATCAGATCGCACTACAATTTTGGGGTAAAGGATGTATTTGAGGAGCTTACGACGGCCTGACGTCGATAACACTCCGCCGACAACTCGAGGAGCACGATCGCGTTGTTGATCGACTTGAAAAAGGGGGAAATAAAATATTGCAGCACTTTTTACGATTTAATACATTCGAAGAGCTAGGGAAATGATAATAAATTTACTACATTGTGTAGTTATGGTTAAAAGTATGTTTTAAAAGTTTAAAATTAAAAAACGATTTTCCAATGCAAACAAGCTTTAGAGAAGCTGAAAAAAAGCTAAAATATATTCGCTATTCATTCGCTTAATTTAACAGACTTATATAACTTAATTATCCTTTTAAATTAATAAAAATACCTGCAGCGTCTGCGCGCGGACGGCGGCGAGGAGGCGCATAATGCCCGCCTCGAGCTCGAGAAGACGGGGCAACCCCCCGGAAGATAGGTCCGGGATTGGGCTCTAAAGTGAAGCTTTTATTTATGCCAAAAAGGGGAAAAAAAAGGGGGGGAGGGAGGGGGGGGGGGGAAAAAAAAACGTATAAGGGGGGGGGGGGGGGGAAATTTTTTACAAAAAACCTTTTTTTTTTCCGTAAAAAAAATTTTTAAAAATGTAATTAAAAACGTCGGAAAATGAAAACTTTGGGTCTAAAAATGTCGAAAAAGAAAAAGCCCCCAAAACAAAAAACAAAAACTCGAAGAAAAAAAAAAACCAAAGGCCTGCCTGTTCCTTTCCCCCCTCGTTGTTTTCTCCCCGCGGGCCGCCTATACACACCTTTTATTTCCCAAATGATCACTGCGGGCCTGCCCTCCTCGATTAAAAAAATGATACCTGCAGCACGGCGCACATCATAGGGAACATGGCAACGAGCGCATCCGAGGTCTTGTAAGAACTGTAGCTCGGCATCTGTAATGAAAGGGAGTTTGGAAAAGGCCTATGTGCACATTGGAACGTTGCGTACGCGAGAGCTGACTACGGTGCGCTTCTATGTACACCCAACACTGTGCACTCAAGGAATTTTCTCTATCTCAGCCACTTTTACGGTTAAAACTTAGTTACCTTCAAGCCGGCGGGCAACTCCGGTTTCGATTGTTTCTTGGCGGGCATTTCTAAAAAGTACACTTATAAAAAAAAGATTCAAACCTTTTGGCTATCGTAGATTATCGTAATCTTTCGATACGGTAGGCTCATTTTAGCGTCCCCAGGCTTTGTTTTTGGCAGGAAATGGAAATCAAACTTTTCTAGGGCTTTGGTTATTCAAATTTCCAAAATGATCTTTGCTACTTTGCTCTTTTTGTTTTGTTTTGTTGCTCTACTTTTTGCTCTGGTTAGACCCGCAGCCCGTCGCCCACAATTCTCACAAACTAGAAACCGCCCTCGCCGCCTATTGATTTAGGAGGTGCGCAGACAGGGAGCCACAGCTTGTACAACCAGCATAAACTCGAGACCCGACCCGACATAAATACTGGCCCGTAACGTGAATCGGCAATATTTTTTTGTGGTTTTTTCACATGACGAATTTGATTGTTTATTTCAGCCCATTTTTTTTTAATTTCCACTTATTTCGAATTTTTGTAATAATTTTTTGTTTATAAATAGTGTATGCGTTTCTACACTGTTTTTCACTGCTTCCATTCATCGAAATTACAAAATAGATTAAAAATTAATTTTAGGTCGTAAAATTGTCGACTTTCTCAAACAGGGTTTTTTCGAAACTTTTTTGAAAGTTTTCTGGACTTGTAAATATAGTTAAGGAAAGTACTAATAGCAATGTAAAGGCGGGCTCGCTTTGATATACTAGTCCAATCGGCCGGGGACAGGAGAACAAGTTTGTTCCTCCTTACCCGGAAATAATAAATAAACAAATTTTCGACTTTTTCAAATATTTTCAATTTTTTTTTAAAGTTTTACTTTAAGTATGGTTAAAAAGTACCCTTTTAGAATGGTTGCCGAAAGAATGGCCGGAGAACCGGTCGACCCGTCGATTCTCGGAAAACCACTAGAGCTAAATTGCGGTCGAACAGTCCGAAATCGTATTATGAAGGTAAGAAAGTACTCCTAAAAATATTGTCATAGATTTTAGGCGGCCCTCACCGAGCGGGTCAGCTCCTATTGCCCAGAAAATCCGAAGGAGAATGGCCTCCCCTCCGAGACGATCATCAACATGTACGGAAAGTGGGGCAACGGCGGTTTCGGCATCATTCTCACCGGCAATGTTATTGTCGACCCGGTATTATAATAGTTTTTTTCCATTATTTTCCTAAATTCCAGCTTCACCTCGAATCCCCGGGCAATATCATCATCTCCAGGGAGAATGATTCGCCAAAATTGCGCGAGCTTTTGAAAAGGTAGCTTTTAGTTTTTCTTTACTTAACATGGTTTTAGATACGCTGCCGCCTGTAAACAAGATGGAGCATTAGCCATCGTACAACTATCACATGTATGTTTTTGAGTTCTTAAAGTTTATATTTTCGAATTTAGGGTGGTCGTCAAACCTCTGAAATCGTAAACCCGCACCCGCGGTCTGCTTCTGACGTTCAGTTGATGGGGAAGCGACGGGGATTTGGTTTTGGAAAGCCGACGCCTTATACTGGTACGTTTTTATGCACTTTATATTAGAAATATATTTTTCAGAGGAAGAGCTCCGAAATGATGTCATCGAACGTTTTGCTTATGCTGCGGAAGTTTGCCGTGATGCAGGTAGGTAATTTTCGGGTTTTAGGGCCGACTTTAAAGTTGAAAAGTAACCGTTTTTAGGTTTTGATGGCGTTGAGCTGCACGCCGCCCACGGTTACCTGCTCGCCCAATTTCTATCCCCGTCGACGAACAAACGGACGGATAGATATGGCGGTAGTCCGGCAAATCGGATTCGGCTTGTTTTGGAGACGTACGCAGAGATTAGGTCGGGCTAAGCTTGATTGTAAAATTTTGCGTGATTTAGAAAACGCATCCCAGCATCTACGAAATTCATCGTTGGCCTGAAGATCAATTCGATCGAATTTCAAGAAAATGGGCTTGAAGTGGGCGATGCGCGGGAAATGTGCGAATTGTTAGAGGTAGGTAAAAAAGCGATACGTTATACAAAGAAAATCTGAAAAGAAAAATACGAAAAAAGAACGATAAAATTTCGACAAAAACGAGATATTTCAGCAAAGCGGCGTGGATTTTGTAGAAATGTCGGGCGGCACCTACGAAAAGCTAGCTTTCGCGCACCTCCGCGAATCAACAAAAGCCCGAGAGGCCTTTTTCTTGGACTTTACGGATCAGGTTTAACAAACCTGAAATTTTCACCAATACAAGCTTCCAGATTCGATCCGTTTTCAAGAAGACGAAGATGTTCGTCACCGGCGGTTTTCGAACGGTCAAGGTGGGTGCGAAAAATGATTCTAAAAACCTTTTTTGTAACTATAAACTATAAAGTAAATTTTTTGCAATATAGGAAATCGTTTTTGCCTTAACCAAATCTTTTTAGTGGATGGTGAAGGTGATCGAAGACGGGAATTGCGATGCGATCGGCTTGGGGAGACCTATCACCGCCGAGCCAGGTGGGAATGACAAAAGTAAAGTGGAAATGCTTGGGTGTTGCAGATTTGCCAAAGAAGATCCTTCAATACGGCGTGGCTGCGGCGGCAGACAACAAGATTGACCAGCAGGATTTTTTGTTTACAAATTTAGGTAAGCTCACTAGAATATACGGTTCTTTTGTATTATCGGGGGGGGGGGGGGGAAGTCAACTTTTTTCGTAGGGCCCAATTTTTCACCTATAAATTGTGGAGGTTTTCCTAAATGGTTTTTTTGACTATTCATAAACGTGAAAGCTTATGAAAAGTATCGGTTCTACGACAAAGTTAATTTTTGCGGAATATTTAAATTTTCAACCTTTTTTGAAAAGTTTTTAGATAGTTTTCTAGTTGAAATTTAGATTGCGATTACTAAAAACACGATTAAACCACTTTTTATGAACTTACTAGGCATTTCTAGACTTTTACAAAAAGTTAAACCCCCCCCCCCCGCGTTAATTCGAAAGAACCCGCGGTTTTCGAAACTTTGTAAATCTTAAGTTTTTCCAGTTTCCTTTTGCGACAACTTCTAATTCCTTTTCCGAATAGCCGTTTTATTTCCCTAAATACGCCTGGGTTTTCAGTGTCCAACACGCAAATGTGGCAAGCCGGCAAGCGGCCATTCTCGGAATGTCAAAAAGTGACGGATGATATCGTCGATATGACCGTCCAAGAAACTGCCGATAGGTATAAAAAGGAAGCACAGGTTAGTAATAATAAACGGCCGGTTTTGAAATTTTTAATTAGAGTTAAATTTTATTTTTAAGTTGTACATTTATTTTTCCAGGATTATCTCGACCGTGCGGCGGAATTGGGCAGTCGGGGCCAGCCAGTTGCCGGCGTCTTTGAATACAGCAATTAGGAAATGATTAATAAAAGTTCTGTACATAAAAAAACCGCATGCGATCCCGAAAAAATAGAAAGTTGGTGCGACAAAACCAAATTAATTTATTGAACTTAATGTGGGTGGGTGGGGGGTGTGCAATAAAAATGAGTGGGCGGCAATGGTGCGTGGGCGCATTAATGGGTGGGGGTGGTTGTCGTCGTCTGCTCTCCCTCCAGATGTTGATCATCTCCTTCAATTCGCGTCTCCGCGGGCATCGGATGAAGCTGTCCACGCGGCGGCGGCAGCGGCAGCGCACGATTCTTCCAGAATCTGAAAAATAGAGGGTTTTCAGTCTTGTAGCCGTGGCGCAGTCGGTAAGGTGCCGGGCCCATGAGCCAAAGATCGCGGGTTCAATTCCGCAGAGTATATTTTTTTGGTTTTGCTTTTTGCTTTTTCCTCATTTTTCTGGATTTCCGGTTAGTGGATGCTCACCTCGAACCCCTCGCAGACGTCGATGGGCTCGATGGTGGTGTTGTGGATGGCGTCTCGGGGTCTCAGCCAATGTGCCATTGTCCCCTTTCTCCGCACCAGCTTCTCGTTCGGCAGCTTTTCGCCGTTCGGGCCGCGCTCGCGCAGGTTTTTCACCTAAAAGACCCGGGGGTGATTTCGGGGCGTGGTCTAGTGGTTAGCGATCCTGACGCTCAGTTTTAGAGTCAGGGTTCGACCCCGGGGGTGAAACTAGCGTTTTGCTTTTTGCTTTTTGCTTTCTGCTTTTTGCGCTTGTAAAATTCAAGCCAGTTTTAAACAGACTTTTCACCTCAGAATTTGAGACGTGTACGCGTGGCCTAGTGGTTGGTGAATAACCTCTCAATATTGGGACCGGTCCCCGGCGGCGAAAACAGGGTTTTGCTTTTTGCTTTTTGACTGTCTAAGGGTGCTAGCCAGTTAGAAGCAGGTCCATATCTTTTGTATGTTTTTTGTTAGGCCCTCAATCGAAGGGCAGCCCGGTCCGACCCCGGGGGTGAAACTGGATTTTCCTTTGTGGCGTATTTCGGATTTGCGCATTTTCAGCCTTAGGGTCACGGCACGATGGCCTGCCTACCGTATGCGCCTTCCGGTGCCCAGGTATTTTGGGGGCCGTCGGATCAGCGGGTGCTTTGGCCGGGGCGGACGAATGGCGAGACCGGTGTTCGTGGTGCGACAGCGCCTTCTTTCGGGCGTGCTGCAAAATGGGTACTTCATTACGCTCCGTATACGCAACGCGTCTTCAACGCATACTGCCGCAACGCACACGCGACGCACTTGCTCGACTTGTTCCCACCTTTCCGACCACGGTGCTCTTCTGCGTCGTCTGGTGGTGTTGATGGTGATGATGATGTGAGTGCTTGTTGTTCGGTTCCCTCGGATGATGCTGGGTACAAGTCTGTTAGCGGGGGGGGGCAAGCACACTTTTAGCCATTATCGCGGTGGGTCCAACAATCTAGTAGCCGCCATTTATAGAGCTTTTCCCGCTATTTTTAGATTAAAAAAATTAAAGAAGGAAAATATGCGAAAAATGTCGATCTTTTTTCAAAATCTCATTGTTTTTATTTTGCAAAAAATTGTTTTCGATTTTTTCACAATAAAACCCCACAAAAAACTATAAAAATATGCTCTAAATTCTTAGAAAATTGGCAAGATAAGCTAAAGCTAAATAGCTTATCCCTCTAATCCCCCCGCTAACACACCAGTACCTGATGCTGTTGTTGAAGATTGTGATGGGATCGTTTCGTGGCCGTGGTATTTGTAGTAGCATTTGTGGTAGTAGACGCGATAGAGGTGGTAGAGAGAGTGGGAGCAGCTCTTCCTCCACCTCCTCCTCCTCCATCGATCATTTCATTCTCATCAAAGATTGGCCCGGGCAGCTCATCGGGATCGCTGTCATCATCAATTGAGGGCAGAAGTGGTGGTGGTTCATGTTGTTTTCGACGTGATGACTGTGGTGGTGGGGCTGCGGGTTGTGGAGGGGGAGGGGCAGCTGTCGTACGCCCATTTTCACTGAAAATTCGAGGGTTTAAAGGGATGGACAAGTGAGAAAATCGATAGTATCGACTAGGTGTTAGTATCGTACAGCTACATGGTGCTCCAAAAGAGGCGCTCAAAGCTCTTTTCTGCCTTTTCGGTTCTTTTCCATTACCGGGGAGGGAGGCTTCTTAGAGGATTTTCTGATATAAAGAGTGGATGGTTTCTACATTTTTTTTTACGATTCCTAAGCGCAAAACTTTAGGATTTCTGTGAAATCTGTGGATTTTTCGGTTCTTTTACATTATCGGGGGGTAGATTTTTCATATAAATCCAGCAGCGTACAGTAACTTAATAGTGTTTCTAAATAGTGCTTGTAATTAAAATTACCTCTACTTTAAATAAAATCTATCTAAAAACCTAGAAAGATATATATTAGAGCCAAAATCCCCCCGCTAAGGCAAAAGCTCCTTGTCAACACCTAGTGGATCCCAAGATTCCCAATCCCTTTAAACGCCAGTGACGTACCCTTTAACATAAATAAAATGATCCTGTTTCCCCTCCATCCTGGCTCTCTCATGCCATCCATCCCTCTCCACTTGTCCGAGCTGTACGACCGAAAATTGGGGATGATTTGCGTGGAGTGGAATGGGCATACGGTCTCCCAAAATGGAATTGAATGGGTGACGGTCTCGGAGAAAGACGTCATCTGAAGGCGAAGACGACGCTCCAACCATGGTCTCATCACCTCGGCAAAGGTTGAGAAACCCGCCGAGATGTACATACGGCGCATGTCACCCTGAAAAAGGAGCTTTTTCATTATCGGGGGGGGGGTTTAATATAATATACCACGGCATAAAGTGTGAAATGAAAATGTACGTATATTTTGGTCGCCCTGAAAAACGACGGTACGTTTCCATTATCGGGGGCGGGGACAAAAAAAGGAACATTTTTGTTTGTCCAGAAATACGCAATCACTATTTAATGCCTACATTTATGTAATAAAAATGTAATAAAATGTAATAAAGTCCATAAAAATGTCACCATTTTTGAGGTGGAAAAACCCTCTTAAAAACTTTTAAAAGTTGCAAAATTTCGAAAATTTTGTCGAAAATAGATATTTTTGTATTTCTTAGTTAAATTGGCATTATTTTCTACGTTTCGACATAGTAAAAACCGTGGAGAAAGCTTCTATTTATACTCAAAACTAATTTTCACAGCCCCGATAATGCAGCAGCACCAAAAACTAGCTCGAGGCATAGCTCAAAAATCAAGCAAAAACTGCTTCTACCGTACCCAGAGCAAAGAGCAAAAGGCTGACCGCGGCTGGGATCGACCTCCGCCCCTCCTACCGTACCGAGTTGATGTTTTTGACGCCGGGCTGGCCGATGTGTGGTTGGATGGAGGTGGGGAAAGCCGAGGACAGGTGGTGGGCCACTGAAAAGGGGCCACAATACCGTATTCTGGAGGCAACTGTGTACGGAATACGATTCCCTGTCACGATTTCGAAAAGCACCATTTCGAAAATCACCATTTCGAAAAATCACCATTTCGAAAGACACCATTTCGAAAGTCACCATTTCGAAAAGACACCATTTCGAAAAGACCATTTCGAAAATCACCATTTCGAAAAGTCACGATTTCGAAAAACACCATTTCGAAAAACACCATTTCGAAAAACACCATTTCGAAAAAATCCCCAGTTCGAAAAGACCCGGTTTCAAACAGGCATAAAAATTGCAGTGTCAAAAAACTACGGCTTTTCTCGGATATGACTAGTGATGCAATAGAAATTGTTTTGGTGGTGTCTATAATGAAATTAATCATATCTCCAGTGGAAAAATAGACCCCCGAACCTCAAACCAGCCAACGAAAATCATTTTTTTCTGCGACTGGGAAATGGGATATTGCTAAATCCTGTGTTTCCCAAATGGTAATTTTCGAAATGCTGATTTTCGAAATGGTGATTTTCGAAATCGTGACTTTTCGAAATGGTGATTTTCGAAATGGTGTCTTTTCGAAATGGTGTCTTTTCGAAATGGTGTCTTTTCGAAATGGTGACTTTCGAAATGGTGTCTTTCGAAATCGTGATTTTTCGGAATGGTGTCTTTCGAAATGGTGTCTTTTCGAAATGGTGACTTTCGAAATGGTGTCTTTTGAAATCGTGATTTTTCGAAATGGTGATTTTCGAAATCGTGACCGCCAACCACGGAATACCGTATCTTAAGGTATTCTCCCTTACTTTTAACGTATTGATTCTACACCCGGTTACCGTATCGCACCACGCCTGGGTACGCTACAGTACGCCCCGGCTAACGTGTGCTGTATTCTACCTTCAATCCCGGCTACAGTACCACGGTACTGAACGGTTTTCGGGGGGGGGGGTGGCAAGCGAGCTACCGTATGAAGTAATCTAACGTACTAGAACTCCGGCTAAAGCATGCTGTAGTCCCAGATACATCTCGGCCACGGTACTCCTGTTGCAGTTTGGAGTATTTTACCGTAACCCCGCTACCGTATAGAGTATTCTACCGTACACCATCAGCTGTAGTAAGAACGCACCTCTTGAATGATTAAAGTATGGGGAATGGGAGGCGTTGCTCGGTAGACGAACAACCATCGCCCGTCGCCCGCCCATATGCTCCAGCATCTAAAAGGAAAAACGCTAATTTGCATTTAAAGGAACAGACAAGGCAACGAAAAAACCCACCTGCTTGCCAATCGAATACTCTGATTACAGTATACAGAGCGCTAAAAAATAAAAAAGGTGCTGGACAATCCTGACGATTTTCTTAAATTGCCGGAATTGGATGCAAAAAGACTGGAATTTGGTTTCCGGATTTGCAAAAATTTGCTAATTTTTGGTTCTCTTGCCATTTCTGTCTGTTTCTCTCTCTCTCTCTCTCTCTCTCTCTCTCTCTCTCTCTGCTTTTTCTAGTTTATAAATTTGAGCCGATTTGCTAAAAGGTTCTGCTAGCCGGCCCTGTTTAGTTTTTGTATTTTCGGTGTATCTGCTCGATTCTCGATCGCCTATCCGCCCCGCTCCGGTATTTTACGGCCCTTTTTTGGGCCGGTGACCTCGGATTTATTACCTTCGAGACCGGGGCTCCACGCAGGAGTGGAGCTCACAAAATTCGCTACAAATTTTTGGCTTTATATGGCTTAAATTAAGGTTTTCAGTTAAAAACAGCTTTTTCAACACCGCCAGGAATCTAGAAATGGGCGACGTCAAGGAGTTCTTGCTGGAATGCATGAAAATCGATTCGACGACGGGGAATGAGGGTATGAACGTCACATCCGGTCAAAAAAGCAAAAAGATGCCCGGAAGGGGATCGAACCCTCGCCCTGTGGATGGGAAGCGAGAACTTGACCAATGCACCACGGCTAAAAACAGCTCCAAAATCGTAATTTCAGGAGCTTATGCTTCCTTCATCACCTCAGCGCTAAAATCGGCGGGCTGGACGATAGAGGAGCAACCGATTGCCGGCCAGGAGCACCGCAAAAATGTGTTGGCAACCAGGGGATGCGATCGGGAAGGTGAGTTAAAAGTGATACGCCATTGAATTCGCCGCCAGCGACACGCGACGCTCTCGTTACGGGTCGTAACCGCGCGTTGCGTGTCGCGGTCGCTGCATAGAAAACAATTGTCGTTGTAATGCCTTGGAGGCCCCTTTAATACCATAACCACCTACCCCAGATATTCGGCTTGTGCTAAACACCCACCTCGACACCGTACCACCCTATATTCCACCCAGTGAAGATGATGTGAAAATCTACGGTCGCGGTTGCAATGACGCTAAAGGTATTAGTTTAAACTTTCCTATTTTTATTGCTTAACCTTTAATATCACTTAAAAAGCCGTTTAAATGATTTGATAACATTTCTTTTAGGACAAATGGCCGCCATGATTTTTGCGGCCAATCGAATTGCCGAGAAGAATCCAAAACTGGCAGAACAGGTGAAATTTTGGCTTAATTTTCCTGAAAACCAAGGTTTAGATCGGTCTTCTCTTTGTGGTGGGAGAAGAGCTTGACCATATTGGGATGAAGGTATCGTTAGGGTTTATCCTACGGTATCTGCGTCACCATCTAGGAGGCCAACAAGCTGAAACTCAGCCCGGAATTCCTGATCGTTGGCGAGCCGACGGATAATCGATTTGCCACGATACAGAAAGGGGCGTATAAGGTAGAAAAATAGATAATAAAGAAATTAAAAATATCGTATTAACTATATCGCTTTTACAATAAAAATATAATTTGACAAATATAATTGTAAAAGCAGCTTTTCCGCATCTAACTTTTATTTTTCAGGTCCATATCCGAACTACCGGAAAAGCCGGCCATTCCGGATACCCGCATACCGGTTATAATTTTAATTTAAAAAATTTACAATTTTTTTCAAGGGACCAGCGCAATCCATAAGCTCGTCGACGTCCTCCACGACATCTCCGAGCACGACTGGCCAAAGAGCGAGGTCCACGGTAAAAATTTTCCCATCGAAAATTTCCTAAATCACCCCTGCTAGCATGCCTTTATTTTTAATATTTTCTTCAGGGGATACCACCTACAATATGGGGTTCATCAACGGCGGGCATGCGCTGAACGCCTGGGCCGAGAAGGCCGAGGCGTCCATATTTTTCAGGATTACTACTTCAGGTAAATACTTGTTAAATCTATATCAAAGGCAGATTACATAATATTACATTCACCAGCTTTTGGCCAAAAAGCAAAAAGTTCCTTCCGGCCAGGGATCGAACCCGGGCCTTGAGATTGAGAGGCTAGGATCTTAACCAATAGGCCACGGATTAAAAATCCAAATTTAAGTAATTATAGCAGGTTATTAAATTGGAATCTATATAGAAAGCCATCTCGTAGCTGCTAGCCAAAAACCAAAAAGTTTGGCGCCGCCGGGAATCGAACCCGGGTCTGGAGATTGTGAGGTGAGGGAGGACCTTAACCAATAAGCTAGGGGTAAATTATTAAAACCTAATTTTTTACCGTTTTGGCTTTGAATTAAGCAGCTGAAACTGAGTTTCAGTGGAAGACGTGCGAGCTCGACTCGAAAAGATCGTAGCAGGGCGTGCGGAGATCGACAACGCGCTCGGCGGCAATGATCCCGTGCTGTTGTCCAAGACACCATTTGAGGTATATCTATGCCGTATTTTTCCATTAATGGGAGCGACGAGTACCAAAAATCGACCCCTCCCCTACTAGGTATCGACAAAACGCGATTGAACCCCTTCAAAATGTGAACGTTCAAAGTCTGACCTATAGAGGCTCATAACTGTCGAGACCTAGCGAGAAGTAGGGGTCGAATTCCTTGCTTCACTGCTCCATTAATTCCCAGTTCTAGGCGCCCACCATTGCCGCGTCGTTCAACACCGACCTGTCGTATTTTGATGGGCTAGCAAAGTTGAAGGGTGAGTCAAGACGCAAGGAATTTTGCCGCGGGGCGACACGCAACGCGTGTGCCGCTGAGTAGCGTTGGTGTAGAGGCGTTGCGTAATCCGTTACGTAATCCGTTACGCTATGGAAAGCGAGGCCAGGCTCTGAGTGTCCCCGGTGCGGCCAAATCGATATCCAAAAACTGATACAACGAATGGATGTTCGGTTCTGGACTGTTAGCGGGGGGGGGGAACCAAAATTTTCCGTGTGATTCTCTAAGGCCCTATAAAAATATAAACCATTTATATTGCATTTTACGCAGTTTTTAGGTAGAAAAAGATCGTGAAAAACTACCAATTTTTCTTGTTGAATTTTTTTGAATTTTTTTAGTGAAAAGTGTATGGAACATGAACAAAAAAAAATTGAAAAATCTCGAAAACTTTTGGAACTTTATAGCAAGGAAAACTAATAAACACACTATAAAAATATATGGCATTTTATTAACAAGTAGGCATAGGCGGAAAAATAAGGATTTTCTCTCCCCCGTTAAGCGGAAAGAAACGATAATCCACAGCAATGCCTTGCCCGCTCCTTTAAACAAATTTAAACCATTTTTCAGGTGTGTATCTCTTTGGTGGCGGTTCGATTACGAATGCCCATTCTGATGACGAGTTTATCGTGGTAAATCTGGCCTTTAGTGATCAAAAACCGCCATTTTCCTAGAAATCCGACCTCACCGCGGCCGTCGACACGTACGAGCAGCTGATCACCGCCCTGCTGACTCAATAGTTAAACAGGAACAACGCAGAAAACAATTTATTAAACGTTCCGATGCCGCCGATTCTAACGATCCGATCAGTGTTCACTTGACGGCCCGGCGGCTGCGATTCGTGCGGGATCCGGCTCGCCCAGTTGACTCATCGGCGTCTGGTAGATCGTGTCCTGAATTTTGGACGTGAAAATGTGTCTTTCAATACCGTAGCCAAATCCATATATCCGCTTTTGCCCTCCTCGTCTTCCGCCGGTGCCGCACCGTAGGCCGAGCTGAAAATCGAGATAGATTTTGATCAGAAAGAGCTTTTATCGTTAGCTTAAAGGGGCTAGAAAAAGGCCCGAAACGTCCGAAAGTCTATCTAGAAAATCTCGCCCTCTCTCATGGTATCAGCGAGTTCATGCATGCGTCGATTTGGCACTGGTGTGTTAGCAGGGGGTAGGGGGAATAATGGGTGATCCGATACCCGCACGGCCCGATATCGTAATAAAGACAATTTTTATAGCGTTAGTTATGAGATAAAAAAACCCTATCAAAAATCCAAACAAAATTTCGAAAAACTAAAATTTTCAGTTTTTTTTCTAGCTTCGTAGCATCCAAATATCCCTAAAAACGCGATAAATGGGTTATACAGGGTGTCCCAAAAAAAAAAGACCCCCCCAAAAATTTGAGCCAGAGGGCACCTACGGAGCTGAAAATTTGCACAGAGGTAGCGAAGCCAATTTCCCATGTATATGGAAAGTTTGAGCCATATTGGCCGACGGGTTTTAAAGTTATAGCGAAAATAATTTTCATTTCTAATTTAATATGGGGATTTTTGCAATTTGCATCATAGATATGCGTTATTCTTGAATTTACGAGCCGATTTTGCATAAATTTTGCCAAAAAATTCCATTCTCTTGCTGGAGCTTTTGGAAAACGATTGCTCATGCAGCGTGAAAACGATCAGCAAGTCCGCTGAGTACAAGATACATTGGTTGAAACTATCGTTCAGCGCCTGAACTTCGCTTAGACTTGGACTGACTTAAACCCAAGCCCAAATCTAAACTTAAGCACCACTTAGAAGCTCATCGAACTCTGTTTCGGGGCTAGCGCGAAGCAGATTGCCAAAATGCACAATAAGGCGTGGTTTGGATCGATAAAACAGTTGTTTCACACTCTTTTTACTCTTCATACGCAATCGTTCGCGCCATGCTCCAGCAAGAGAATGGAATTTTTTGGCAAAATTTATGCAAAATCGGCTCGTAAATTCAAGAATAACGCATATCTATGATGCAAATTGCAAAAATCCCCATATTAAATTAGAAATGAAAATTATTTTCGCTATAACTTTAAAACCCGTCGGCCAATATGGCTCAAACTTTCCATATACATGGGAAATTGGCTTCGCTACTTCTGTGCAAATTTTCAGCTCCGTAGGTACCCTCTGGCTCAAATTTTTGGGTGGGGGGGGTCTTTTTTTTTGGGACACCCTGTATATAGCATTAACAAGTAGGTTTAGGCGGAAAACTAAATATTATTAGCCCCTCCCCGCTAACAGCTCAGTACCGTCGAACTTGCGTCAAAAGATTTTCGCTTTCTCTCAAATATTTTAGGATTTTTCGTCCAAAAATCGCTATTAAATTGTGCTAGTTATCTAGGCCGTATACCGTTGGTTTTTTGCCATTTCAACTTCCTAGATTCCTTAAGGCAATCTAGCAGAGATCTTTTAGGAATTTTTACCCATAAGTCGACACCGGGGCTCCTCCTTGGATGCTTTGATCATAGGTGGAATACACGGACGAGTACACCGGATTCACCCCGGCCACTGGGTCGTGCGGTGGAAGGTTCTGCAAAAATACAAAGATATCAGCTACGAAAAATGTTCTTAATTTTTCCATATCACAGCAAAACACGCACCTTCTTATCCTTGCTCGAATTGCAGCCCATTTGCAGAGTTTCTAGAGCGGAAAGCCGTCATTACTTCTCGCTTTGTACCTCTTTCCCACAACAAAAAACGGTTAAAACGGTGAAGAAGCCGCGTAGAAAATTGGGTCGTATGAAATGAGGGTGGATTGCTTGACTGTAAATTACAAGCTATTTGTTTATTTATTTATATTTGTATTTATTCAAAGCACAGATGCAAATCAAAAATCTATTTTATTCCTTGAAAAAAGCCAAGTTAAAGGTTATGCCTTCAACAAGAGTTTCGCTCGGCTGAAAAGTAGACGAACAATCGTGTCCTCGTCGATATCGTCGTCCCTGCCGTTCGTCACCCAGGCGTAGAAGATGAAAAACTCGGCTTCATCCTTGAAAAAGGAGCTTTAGGAGTTTTTAAAGGGACTATCAAGGCGCATCTAGAAATTTCGTTCCATTTGGCCGCCGCGACACGCGACGCGCGCCGCAACGCGTCGATTCCCTGGTCCTTTAAACCTCACAAATTCCTCGCCAAGCTTTGCCTGCACGCTTTTCGAGCGGAATTCCTGGGCACGAGAAGGGCCGGCCGCTACCGTACGCTGAAAACGGGTAACACCGCGCGCGGTACTCACCGATCGGGTCGGGATGTCGGTAGTTGGAAGCGGGGCTGAAAAGAACTCAATTTTTAACTTGTTAAACTGTGATAATGATAAGGTTTTCTTTTAGCTTACTAGACACATTTTTAGATCCTCGTGAGGCTGGCAGCTTCAAGGATACGGACTGGGCGGCGCTCTATAAAAAAGCGTGTCGAAATTTGGATTGAAAACTATACCAAAACACTTTGAGAGCGTGAAGCCGGCTTTGGGCTGGCGATGCTCTAAAACGCGAAAATACAATGTTGTCAACCACCGTATTTAAATACACTGTATTCAGCCTGTATAACACTACAAACTACAAACATTGCCAAATTTTTACCGGTGAATGCGAGATGCTCTTCCGGTAGGCATTGCTGTAGGCGAATTTGCTTTTCCGGCTCCGCTCGGCGTGCTTGAAGCCGGAATCGGCGCGCTCGTTTAGGTCTTCTTCTTCCTAGGTTTTTGGGTGCGGAAATAGACGACGTGTACATTTCTGTGCTCACCGTCCCTTTAAAGGGATCGGCAAGGCATTATGAAGGATTTGTTGGTTTGAATTTCCGATTTTAAGTTTTTTTCTTAGGCTCGCGATACGCAACGCGAAGTCTTCCATTGCGTATCGATTACGCCACGCTCCGACCAAGCCTTCCATTGCGCAACGGAGTGGGCTCGCTATTAGCCGTGCGCGTTGCGTGTGCGTTGCGTATCGCGACACGGTAGGTTTTAGAAATCCGTAGCTGTGCCTCGCCGGACCCTTTAACAGCAGGCAGGAGGGTTCTTACATGCTGCCCATCCATCCATGCTTCATATAGCGATTGGGCGACGCGTTGCTGCAATTTTGAAATATAGGTACAAAGTTACGTAAAAACATACGCATAAGTACGTGTTTACGCATGCTCCAAACTGCCGTATCTCGGTTCGTTGTTCATCTACAGCTGTGTAAAGTATATCAAAATACTCGAGAGAGCAAGACGAACATTTTGGTATACTTTACCCACCTGTAGATGAACAGGGAGCGGATATACAGATGTTATGTGCCGGCTGGGGGGTAAACTGCACTCTAACCATACGTACTTATAGAACTTATTAAGCCCCTAAAGCGTACCTGCTGATTCATAACGACCTCAATTTTCTATAGAGTTTAGTATAAAGTGAGTATACGACTAAAATAAGGAAGCATTCTGCTTGATTCTGTCCCTTTTTATGCCCCTACCACCGGCTGTCATGACAATTCCTTGACACGAGGTTTATTCGTTTCGCCGTTCCAGTTTAACGGGTTGCCGAGCTACCCTATTTTTCTAGTTTTAAAAGACCACCCTTGAATGAAAGATTTTTTGGGGTTTTTGCAAAAATTGTGACGTCAAATTTTGCACGGGAAGTTTGCAAAAGCACCCATCCTGAATTTTCGGGCGTTTTTCGAAAATCCGGTTCTGTTGCATTAACGGGGGGCGACAATTTCTCAGTAAATAAAGGAAGGCCTAACGCAATAAAAAAGTTTTAATTGTATCTTAGTAAAAATTAACTTTATTTCGAATGGAAAATCAGCTAAAAAACGCATAAATTTGAACATTTGTGGAAAATTGGAATTTTTGTCGAAAAATCGGCATTTTTTGGGTTTTTCAATATTTGTAATAACAGTGAAAATTAACGTGACAACACGTCCTGTATTTATATTGGAAAGGAAAAGCCGGTTTTCTTTCATGGTGCCCCCCCCCCGATAATGCATAAGCTTTAGATTTTCCCGATCTGGTCTCCATTTTTGTCATTTTTTTGATAGCACGTTTTTTAGGAAAAACGATTGAAGCTAGAAATTTCGATACGGTAATTAGAATACCTATTAGAACTAGGAGGCTGAAAAAAAAGCGAAAAATCGGTTCTCCTTTGGCCCGACATGGACTCGGTTCGTGCCTTCTGGAAGGACTTCAAGGTATCGATTTTTCTGGGTATAATTTTGCTAATTCCGGATGCTAATTTAGCATACTCTAATTTTTTAGATGGAACGTCCGCACGATCCTCTGGCACTGGCTGCGTTCGAGACATCGTACCGGAGGAGGGCACGTGTCATGGCCAACAACTTTGCCGTCATCTTTCTCCATGTGGGAATTTGGTTCTTTTGCATTATCGGGGGGAGGGACCAACTTTTTCTCAGGATCTAAGTTTTAATATGCAAAAAATATCGATTTTTTTGCCCTAAACGTCAAATAAAATATTTTTCTAAGTTTAAAAAAATTGTTTTCCGTTTAAACAATAGTTAAATTTTGCTAAAAATACAACTAAAAACAATTCCTCTGACGTTACTAGGCATTTCTAGGCTTCTACGAAACCCCCCCTCCCGATATTGCTCAAGTACCGAGAATTTATTGAAGTTAATATCTTGTAGTCTTTCTGATTTTCTAGAGCATATTATTTCTTTAGTTTGCCATCGGGGCCACCATCAGCGGGGTTCTTTTCTTGACGCCCGGCGTGCGCGGCTACGTTCAGCAGATGCCGATGATTCGTTTGTCGGTTTCTTCTAAGCTTTTGTTTTCAACCTTTTAATATAAATAAAAATGTTTCTAGACTGTTTCTATCATTCCGTAAACTTTATAAATTTCCATTAAAAAATACTAAAATGTCGATTTTCATCCAGAACCGGTCGATTTTCGACCAAAATTGCGGCTAAAAATTTTTTCTAAGCTTTTAAAATCATTCATTTTACTAAAACCAATTAAATGTTTCCGATTAAGTGGCTAGGAATTAAGAATTTGACGAAAAATGGCCGCCCCCGATATTGCCAAAGCACCTGAAATTAATGTGTATCGTTTTAACCAGCTTTTTTGCAGCCTCATCTACACTTCCGGTGTTGTCGTTCCGATTCTGACGGGTACATGGCCGATCGAATATCGTGTCGGCTACATCGTGTGGCTTCTTCACACCGTTCTGCTCGTCCTCATCACCACCGGTTCGTGCTCCTCCTTGTCATGCCGCCACGTCGAAATTCCAGTACTGGCCACCGACTTCGACACGGAGATGCCGATGGTGATCATGACGGGATTGAGCCTGCTCTCCCTCTTCTTCTGCCTCATCTGCGCCCATCGGGGCTGGCTGTTCGCGAAGGCGAGGTGGATCGTCTTCACGTGGATTGCATGGCCGTTCCTCATCCAGTTCATCCAGGTAGTTTCTTAGGAGCCAGTTTTTAACATATAAATAGCGGCCTAAAAACTTTAAGAATTTTTTATTAAAGAATACAAAATATCGATTTTGCGATCGGAAATCGCCCTTTTTTAATAAAATTTCGAATTTTTGAAAAATTTTTTCAGTTTTTAGCTAGTTGTTCTAGTTAAAATACAGTTCTATACTAAAAACATTTAAAACTTCCTATGGGGCTACTAGGGATTTCCAGATACAAAAAACATACAATACAAAAAATTGTCCCCGCCCCCGATAATGCGAAAGATCCTGGGGGCATTAGGGCCCCCCGCTAAGAAACTAGAACACTATAACGAAAGTTCAGGCACGGGTTACGTGGGCGCCTAGTTACCCCCCGTCCTCCTCCCCTCTCTCTCTCTCTCCTCTCTCCTCTCTCCCCCCCCCTCCTTGCCGTAATTAGGCGCCAACGTAGCAAGTTCTAAACCTTGCGCTTTATGCCATAACTATCGATCTCGGCTCCCCGTTCGTCTACAGGGCTGTAAGGCATACTAGAATGTTCGCCTTGGAATGGCGAGTATTTTGGTATACCTTACAGCCCTGTAACACGACCGAGAGCAAAGATATGCCTGACGAGAGGACACAAATTACTAAACTAATACCGAACTCATATTTTATGCGAAAAATTCGCGTGCCGATAGTATTTACGGGCCCGCATAGACGGTCCAAATTTTAGCCCGATCAGGCCTCGTAAATCCCCCATCTTTTTTCAGTCGTCAATGCTGCTCTACGACTCTTCATGGCTGATGAGTTCGGTGTTCGGCGCCCTGGCGACGACCTACATCCTCTACAACGTCGACGATACCACATATGAAAGCCCATTCCATACTGTTGCCTTTTTGTATTGTCGTATCCCCTGGTATTTCATTTCCAAAGCTCACCTTTTCGTGCCTAAACTCTAAGCCTATTTCTCTCCAAAGTATGAAAAACCCTGGCCTATCGTTAATTTTCTGCTGTCATTGTTGATATGTGATTTCAGCATTTCTTGGCTTGGTGAATATTTTTGACTAATAAATGTTTTGTGACTATTTTTGGGCTGTTTTGGGACTTGGTCGCATCGAGTTTGAGTGATTTTTCGCCGCTGCAAGAAATAATAACGGAGGTGCAACGGCTTTAGTTTTTAGAAATTGGTCTTATGTCATTTTTAAATTCTCGAAGGCTTTTTTGCTTTTTTTCAGTAAAGTTTCATGCTTGAGGCGAGATAGTATGTGCAAATTGCTAGGAACCATTTAGCTTTTAATTTTAGCACCAAATTATTACTATTGTTATTATTATTGCAGTTATCGTATACCTCAATCCTTTACTTTGGCCTTTTCCCGCCCAGCCAAATCGCCTCTCGGGCGCCGCTTTTTCGCGCCCACCATCCCCCTTTTTCCTGGCGTGTTCGCCCCCAATTGTTCTGTTTTTTTGCTTATCTTCGTTCGTTCTCTCTTCTCTCCCCCTTTTATTTTATCAAAACAATTTCAGAAGGATGTCCACAGCCCTCAAACCAACGACAGCCAAGCGGACCGCCAAAGTGCTCACCGATTTCTTCAGTAAAGGTTTGCAAAATGTTTTCTTTCAAAGAAACTTTCCTTTTAGCACCGGGCGCCGCTGAGAAGAAGTTGAAGGTGGATGTAATGGAGGATTCGAAGCCCGTCAAAGAGTCGGTAAGCCATTTTTAAATGCTATATTAAAACAAGCCTAGTGTTTTCGGTTTTCCTTATTGGAGAATAATGATTTTTCAATTGAACATTTTATTTTTTAGGCAACAACAACAGTCGAGCCAAGCGAAGACGCGGAAAACACTCCGCAAACGTCCGGCGAACTTGCGAGCGCCTTTCTTGCGGACCTGCTCCAAGATGCCGAATGGCGAGAAGCGCTAAAGACCGAGTTCGAAGCCCCGTATTGGAAGAAAATCGAAGACTTCCTCTTAAAAGAATATCAAAAGGTATTTCCTAGCACGCGCTTCTATTTATACAATTTTAGGGTAAAGAAATCTTTCCGCCACGCCACGAAATCTTCACCGCGTTCAACACGACGCCTTTGTGCAAGATAAGGGTCGTGCTGATCGGCCAGGATCCCTATCACAACGTCGGCCAGGTTGTGATACGTTTTTTATTGGTTTTTGTCATTTTGATCAGCATTTTCATGTATTGATGATGTTTGTATTAAATTAATTTTCCATTTCAGGCGCACGGGCTTTGCTTTTCGGTGAAGAAGGGAATAAAGGCGCCCCCATCGCTGGTCAATATGTACAAGGAATTGGTCACCGATATTCCAGGTTTCCCTATTTTTCTTTCTCCAGTTGAACAATTGAGTTTTCAGGTTTCGTGCCGCCCTCTCACGGGTATTTGATGGGCTGGGCCGAACAAGGCGTTTTCATGCTCAACGCCGGTCTTACAGTCGAGTAAGAATATCTAGCTCTACTTTAGTTTCTAGGGCACACAAAGCCAACTCACACGCCGATATTGGATGGCACAAATTCACCGAGAAGGTTTGAACACTTTCCTTTTCAAAATTATTTGTATTCCAGGTCATTCAAACGATCTCCCGACGTGTCGATAAATGCGTCTTCTTGCTGCTCGGCAACTTTGCCCAAAAACGAGCAGCTCTCGTCGATGCCAAGAAGCATGTTATCATAAAGGTTCGATTCACCCCGTATTGAAGGATGTATTTATCTAGGAAGCTCACCCATCTCCACTCAGCGTTCGTCACTTCAAAGGCTGCCGCCCTTTTTCAAGAACCAACGAGGCGCTAGTCAAATTTGGGCTCGAGCCGATTGACTGGTCCCGTCTCCCGTTACCTTGAACTTTATATACTCACACCTCGCTGTTTTTCTTGTTCTTGCACAAGCACTCTCGTACTCCGATCTGCACATAATTTTCACTTTATACACATTTTGTAATTTTGATAAGTCTTTAGATTTCAAATCATGGGAATAAAAACGTTACTATAAAGCTCACATGAAAGCAACGAATCGCATATTTCAAAAAAAGTTTGATGATAGAGGTGTTTTTTTTTGGTAAACAGCTATCTGTCTGTAATACGCACCATTTTCGACAAGCTCCAGACGCTATCGTCAAACCACGCGCAGATACTTCACCGACCAGCGCCACTACGAAACCCAGACGGTTAAATGTATATAGAAAATTTGCGTATCTTCTATATAAAGCCCATAAGTTTATTATTGTCTTCATTGCCGAAATGCCATTCGACCACCTCAACTACTACCACGGGTTTTTGCCCAGATAAACTTCTTTGAAGAGTTATGCTTCTTTTAGAGAAGACACGGCCCAGCTTCTAAAACACCCAGGCGACTTCCTTCTCAGAAGCAACCAATTCCAACCACGGGAACCGATGCAGCTCATACGTATACTTTCGCTTGCCTACCTGGAAAGACATAAAGAAGTAAGAATATTACACTGGTGTTCTTGGTTGCAGTCATCCGGAGCGGCACGTTGGATATTGACTCACATCATTCTAGAATGGAGACTCTGGAAACAGTGGACGATCGGGACAGCGGTTCAAGCGCAGAAAGCCGAAAATTGCTGGCAGTCATGCGCCGGATCCTCAAATGCCTCCTGGCCAAGCCGACCCATCGGAGCTGAAGGTAAGACGCGACCTTAAAAGATAGAAAAATTATTTAGTTGAGGCACTTCATCATCACCATAGAAAAAGAAGCTCCTCACTTCCATACCATCGACAAAAAAATCCGTGCCGCCACCGTCAATGATCTCATCCAGAAATACAAAGACAGGAAGATACCGCTGAAAAAAGAGGTTCAAGGTTGCATTATTACTGTATCTTCTTTAGTTTCGCACCACCGTGCGGAAAACTCCCATCACCAAAGCTTCATGGGAGATCAACCACGACGACGTCAAGCAGGACAAGAAGCTTGGAGAAGGTGTGATTTTGTTCTTACACCATACGCTGTTTCAGGAGCTTTTGGCTCCGTATATCCTGGAACACGGAAAACGTCGAGTGGCGCCGAAATCCCAGTCGCCATCAAGCAAGCGCACCCAGAGCTACTGGATCCCGAAAATGTTTGCAACCTAAATGACCTTAATTAATTCTTACAGTTCCAAGAATTAATGAGGGAAGCCAGGCTGATGCGGAATTTTCATCACCCCAATGTAGTCGCAATCGCAATCGAGTGGCTGTCGAGAAAGATTCGCTGATGATCATCATGGAATTGGTAAGCATCTGAAAGGAAAGCAGTTGCCTATTCAGGTCGATGGGAGCAGCCTCGATAAGTTCCTGCACACCAATGGCAATACCCTGGAGCGTCTCGAAAAGCTGGGACTTGTCTTGGTGGGTCCAGCATCGAGTCTTTCAAAATTCGTTTTAGGAGGCCGCATGGGGCATCGAGTATCTGCCCCAAAAAGGCGTCCTTCATCGCGACATCGCTGCTCGGAACTGCCTTGTATCGCAAAGGGGTTCAGGCCGCCAGCTAAAAATCTCCGATTTTGGGATGTCGCGCCAAAGCCGACAATATTGCCTAAAAACCAAGCTCAAAATTCCCAAGAAGGTATTTCCATGAACTTTTCCCCTACTTTTCCGCATTTTAGTGGCTTGCGCCGGAGGCCATCATCAAAACCTACACCTTCAACCAAGCCAGCGATTTCTGGACTTTTGGTGTGCTTGGTGAGTGAATTTTGAGCGTCGTGACATGCTTGTTTAGTTTGGAAGATCTGCTGAATGGAGAGGAGCCCTACAGCGGGATGGCCGTAGCGGCGACCAAATTCGTGATTTTGAGTTGAGAGCGGCTGCAGTGTTTAAAGAAAAAGATTGATGAAGTGGTTGTAATAAATTTCGAAAATTGCCAGTTACTTATTCTGATGGACATTCTAGATAATGTCAGATTCGACTGCGTGCGCTTATTGCAGGTTTTTTCTCGACGCGATACGATACAGCATCGAGAAATGTATTTTTTTGGCTAGGCAATAGATATGACTGTTTCGTGGAGCGTTTCGTAGCCTTTCTCCTAGCCCAGACTAGGTATATACTTCCTCGCTATGGGCCACGAGCCGCGTGTGGGCCCCTCGTGGGCCCTGAATGAATAGAAAAAAGGGGACTAGAAGAAGCCAGAGCGGCGAGAGATGGGCCATTGATCGGAGGGCCCAGAGGGGCGGGGGAAAGTGGGCCCCTGGCGGGCCCTCTTTTTTTCTATTTGAAGCCCACGGCGGCGGATTCCCGGGAAGAGAGAGAGAGAGAGAGAGAGAGAGAGAGAGAGAGAGACCCACACTACCCCCTCTTCGCTATATTTTTGCAGGGTGGCCCGCCGCGGGCTCTCCTATTTTTGGCTTCGGTTGTAGTCGGGCCGCGGGGATTCCCCTGTTTTTGGGTCTTTTTTTTTGCTTTTTACATACCCGACCAGTTTGGGATTAGGGTTTGTGAATGGATGGTATTAATGAGAATAATAAGGCCATGTGGTTGATCTATGAATGGGCCGGATGCGGTATCGGGAAAGAATTTTGCAATTTTCAAGTTTTCAAAAAAGCTTAGGGGTAACGTGGATTTAGACCTTAGCTCGGCCTAGAGTAGGAGTTAAGATTTAGGCTTGAGCATCGCTTGGTTTCTGCCTGAAGTAGCTTGGCTTAGCCTTTAGGCTTGCACTTTAGCTCTATGGCTTCGTTATGGTAGGCTTGGCTCAGCTTTAGGCTCAATTCTGCTAGCTTAGTTTAGGCGCGTTATTTTGATTGGGCTAAAGGTACACTAAAGCCGCCTCGTTGGTTTAATTAACCGGCGCGGAAACCGCCCGGGGAATAGCAAACCGGGTTATTAGGGGAGCAGCCGGCGGGGGAGAAAACCGAACCCGCGCCACTGCCCTAAGGGGAGAGCTTTAGACCACTAGGCCATGGGACAGACGGGAGGGGGAGAGGGAAGGGGGATGAGATAAGGATGGGTGTGTGGCGGAAAGGGGGGCGGATTTCCGACTGCGAACTGATTTTTGTAGGATTTTTATTTTATTTTTTAATTTAGGGCTGGGTGACGTGAGGCGGTGGAAGGGGCTTGGGGTTGGCTCGGGTTTGAACTTACACTTGGTTTAAGTTTGGCTTCGTCTTAGACTAATTTTGGCTTAGTTTTGAGCTTAGGTTTACGCTTATTTTTAAGCTTACTTGCCCTCTATGAAAATTCTCATTATTTGCTGATTAATTTCTCCACCCTTTCGTCATTTTTTTTGTATTTTTGTGACATTTTCCGGCGCTGAAAACTCGTCAGCTCTTGACGTCCACAGAAATAAGGAGAATTCTTCGACAGGTTTCTGAATGATTTTGGCAGCTGATTTTCCGCAAAACATTTTGACTTTCACCTGGCGAGGCTTGTGGGCGAAAAAGCCCCAAAAATGGAGATAAAAGCGGTGGGGCAGGTGATGTTGGATGGATATAATGAGTCCGACACTACCGTATCCGCTGGTAGTTTGGGATTTTTGTGGTGGGCTTTACGGGTTATCGGTGGGATATGACCGCCGGCAACTTGCTGATCGCTGCCGGATCTGTGTAAGCTACACCTAGCAAAGGCCATTTTCGCGTCCTGAACCCGGCTCTATACCTTTCTGTTCCAATTGTCAATTTCGTTGGGCCGTGTAACCCGGAATTGGCCCCGTAAAAATTCACCCCGAAAAAATGATAAGCCTTCCCAGCCCTCCCTGCCGTGTCACCAAATCAGCTTGCAGTGCCCAGGGAAATCGGGACGGAAATCGAGTTAGTACGGCGCCGGCAAGAAGGGCAAGGTCCGACCGTTCACAGGTGATGCCTGGCCCATTTTATGGTAAAATAATGGGGTTGGCGGGGCTGGGAATGGGTTATAAAAACCGATTACCGGGTCAACGAGCAAAAGAGAAAAACCTTGGCCGGCCCGGGATTTGAACCCTTGAGCAACAAAATTAGGGAGGCAAGGAAGCCGTGATCTTCAAGAATCTCTGCTAGCCTGCCCTAAATGATCTCTGCTAGCTTGCCACATAACCGGGAATGCGGTTTTTTGGACTTTCCTCAATAATCTATCTATGCAAAATTCTTCCGGAAGAAAACAACTGCTCATCGCTTCCAAAATTGTCTCCGCTAGCTTGCTTTAAGAAGGCCTGGCAAATAACACCTATTTCCTCAAAAATCTCTGCTAATGGGAACTCGTAAATTGTCTATGCTAGCTTGCCACTTCTTGTCTAGAAATTTAAATTAGATTTTTCAATCCAATCAGCCCCCAAATTCCGGTCTTTTCTGAGATCCTAGGGCCGACTCCCCGTCAAATTGTGGCTTCAGAAGTGGGACTCTGTTTTGAAGCCCCTCCAGCCTGGAAGACCCGATTCTCTATTCTCTATTGGACCCGCTCGGGGTAGAAGCCCTATTTCTGGGCCCCATCCCCCTGGCCATGTGGCGCCGAGCTGTTTTTGGGGCCCAGGGATCTGGAATGGAATCCCCTCAACATCTCTCACCCCCTATCTCTCTCTCTCTCTCTCTCTCTATCTCTTCCACTCTCCCACTTCATTACTATTAACGGACCCGCGAGACATAGATAAGCAGGATTAATCCTCTGGCCCCGGAATTTCCACGGGCTTCCCCCCA